GAATAGAACAGAATACAACAGAATGATAGAATAGAATAGAACAGAATAGAACAGAATGATAGAATAGAATAATATAGAATAGAATAGAATGATAGAATAGAATAGAATAGAACAGAATGATAGAATAGAATAGAACAGAATAGAACAGAATGATAGAATAGAATAATATAGAATAGAATAGAATAGAAAGGAATGGAATGGAATAGAATAGAATAGAACCAAATGATAGAATAGAATAGAATAGAATAGAATAGAATGGGATGGAATAGAATGGAATGGAACGGAACAGAATAGAATACAACAGAATGATAGAATAGAATAATATAGAATAGAACAGAACAGAATAGAATAGAACAGAATGATAGAATAGAATAGAATAGAATAGAATGGGATGGAATAGAATGGAATGGAACGGAACAGAATAGAATAGAACAGAATGATAGAATACAATAGAATATAGAATAGAATAGAATAGAACAGAATAGAATAGAACAGAATGATAGAATAGAATAATATAGAATAGAATAGAAAAGAATGGAATGGAATAGAACAAAATAGAACAGAATAGAATAGAACAGAACAGAATGATAGAATAGAATAGAAAAATATAGAATAGAATAGAACAGAATGATAGAATAGAATAATATAGAATAGAATAGAATAGAAAAGAATGGAATGGAATAGAACAGAATGATAGAATAGAATAGAACAGAACAGAAAGGAATAGAATAGAATAAAATAGAATGGAATAGAATAGAATAGAACAGAATAGAATAGAATAGAACAGAATGATAGAATAGAATAGAATAGAACAGAACAGAAAGGAATAGAATAGAATAAAATAGAATGGAATAGAATAGAATATCTCTTTGCTGTCCCTCAATGGGGTAATCGTGGTGTTTGCAGCAGTAAAAAGATTATAGAAAAAATGATCACACGAATGTGGACCTTAGAAAAAATGTATAAAAATAACATAGAAATGAAGACAAACAATAAAATCCTGTAAAGTGTTTTAACGATATAAACTGAGCCCCTGGAGAATAAATAACCAACATGCAGCTATGGACATTTTGACAGTAATTTGAAAACAGCAGCAACATCAGAGATGAGCAGAATGACAGCAGCAGGTTATTTAACTGACTAAGGTAGAAACTGAGCAGAATCAGCATGAATGGAAGAACTGGTTGAGAACAGTGGTGGTACTAGAGTCTTATTGTGATTTTATTTTGATTTTCCTTTGCACTAACCCCAAGCTTTTTGAGGGTTTGCTGCCCAGAGTCCATTGATACAAAACTTTATTGTAACCTTAGTGTGAAAAAGTGTTTACTTATACTTCTATTCTTGGATCTGCAGCTAGCTGGAAATCTCTCTACCTTTCTGTGTGGAGAAAAACCACTTCAGGCGTTTAATCAGCACCTAAAGGGCTGAAGGGAGAAATTTAGTGTCTAATGCTACATTCAGACCGCACGCGCTAGAGGCAGCAGAAGCAGCTAGTTTACATGCAAATTCAATGGTTGATGCGCATCAATGTGCAGCAAAAAGGTCCTGCAGCGTCTAGAGCAGCTGAAGCAGCGCATCATGAGCTTCATGAGCATCTGAGGCGCTGCAAAAGCAGCAGCTGGTGGAGTTGGAAAAATGTAACTTTAGATGCTGGACGCGCCGTTTTTACAGTTTTACATCTATTGCAACTCAACGTTCTTTATTCCTGTTCATGCATATCTATTAAAATTCAGCACTAATGTTTCCTGCCGAGGTCTGAGCACCAGAGAGAAATTAATTAATATCAATAAATTTCTTCCAATTGTCTTTTCTCTTCGTGTGAGTTTTTCAGATTGAAACTGAAATTGAAGACTTTCACATTTTTGCAGCTCCAGACTGATCTGTTTTTCTTTTTTTGATCCAATATGGCTGTTTGAACAGTCTGGGTTACCCCTGGTTACCGAGCCCCAAATGCTGCCGATTTCTCTGCAGATTAAATGTTTTCTTTTCCTCCATGTCTGTGATAAAAGTGACACAATGATTAGAAATGTCTAAATTTAAACATTAACAAACCTTTATTGACAATTGAAGAGGACACTAACAGCAATGGAGGAGCTGCTGAACACGTATTCAGGTATCGGTTCTGATATCGGCCATAAAAATCCACCTCAAAATTAGACTTCATGTTAGTCTGCAGCTTATTTCTAAAGCTCTCTGGTAAAAATACTTTTTTTTATAATTCCTTAGTTCATACATGAGTCAGCAAAGATGAAGGAGTGAGAGCCGCTGATGAACAGCATCAGCAGGTCGCTGTGGAAACGCAGCAACAGGATGAGAGTAAAGGTCAGCCGGGGTCAGTTCCTCAGGGAGCTTTGATATGTCGGAGTGCTCCTTAGCCGCCCATAACCGACGCTTTTAAGCATGGAAAGCAGGATTTTTCTAATAATGCGTTCCTCCTTTATTCCCACCTCTATTCAGCCTGGACAAAGAGGCTGGAGGAGAGCAGCGTCAGAGACGAGGCCGCCACGGCGACCCTCACATGAGCATCAGCTGGTTTTCATCCCGTGTAATAATCCTGTAATCATCGCATTAAACGCCTGATGACCGTCCATCCTTCCCATTATTGCCCCTCGGATCAGAGCGCCGTGACAAAGCCGACGTTCCCGATTGACTCGGTTGGTTAGAACGGCGCCGGGCGTCACATAAAGCAGAAATGTTACACCCCGGCGTCTGAGCCTGCGTTCGCAAATTGAAACGACTCTTTACGTGCAAAAATCATAAACATCAAACCCCCACCTGAGAAACACTTCCCACACGGAGGGGAAAATTGGGCTAAATTACACTTTCACTTTTTCCTCTTTGTGATTTTCTGTGGAGCAACACGGCGGTTGCTATGGCGGCGGAGGGGCTGGATCAGGAGTAATGTGGCAGCAGCCATTTTCACACAAACACACATTTGGATTCAGATTGTTTCTCAGACGCACACAAGAAATATTCCTCTCATTTTCAGGAGTCCTTTAAACAAACATTTGGCCTTTAAATCACGGCGGACGCTTATGATTCGCAGGAAGAACAAACTTATTCCCACAGCCCCGACTCTAATGTCTGCCGTTTAGGATTCAGCAGGAAAATAAAAAGTCTTTGTTGAAGCGAGAAAGCTTCATCATGCGTGATTTTGTTTTTGCAGAGAATGAGTCGTGTTTGTGCATCTGAAGCACATCGAGGTAAAGATGCTTCGCACCGTTCGCGCTCATTTCCAGGCCATTGTTCACAAACGCTGCATTTTCACACAGACTGAATGCGTCTGAAATGAAGCAGCAGGGAGGAGATGAACTGGAATAAATGGGCCTCTTCCTTCCATCCGTTTCACCGTCAGACCGGGTTCTCCCTCTGGAGAACAACGCAGAAGGTGAGGAAAGCGACTGCAGAGCCGTTAGAAGACAGGAGCCACTGGAGCTGAAGGGTTTGTTCTCAGGATGCAAATAAAGATGATTTCTTTATTTAATCGATTAATAATCAGATGGATAAAAGTTCCTTAAACTTAAACCAGGTGAAACTAAAACTTTTCCACTTGAGGAGTTCTGGATTATAAAGCAGATTGACAGAAAAACATATTTTTTAATCCTAAATGCAAAATATTTGCATATTTTTTTCACAATCTTGGTATAATTCCTGCTCTAAGTGTGTCGCTCTGACAGCTAAAGAGACATTTTACCGTCTCTATACTCCAGCTAATTAATCAATTAAATGATTACTAAATTAGTTAATAATGATTTCAATAATCGATTAACTGCAATTAATCCGACTAATTGTTTCAGCTATAAAACCTACAATAACTAATTTTTTAATTATCATTTTATTATTTATTATTTTTATTATTTTATTCTTTCCATCTCAAATACAAAAACAGCATAAATATGTTTCCTGGAAGTTCGTAAAGAACAAAAATAAACACAAAACAAAAAAATAA